ATTATTATTATTATTATTATTATTATATTATTATTATTATTATTATTATTATATTATTATTATTATTATTATTATTATTATTATTATTATTATTATTATTATTTATATTATTATTATTATTATTATTATTTTTATTATTATTATATTATTATTATTATTATTATTATTATTATTATATTATTATTATTATTATTACTATTATATTATTATTATTATTATTATTATTATTATTATGTATTATATTATTATTATTATTATTTTATTATTATTATTATTATTATTATTATTATTATTATTATTATATTATTATATTATTATTATTATTATTATTTATTATTTTTATTATTATTATTATTATTATTATTATTATGTATTTATTATTATTATTATATTATTATTATTATTATTATTATTATTATTATTATTATTATTATTATATTATTATATTATTATTATTATTATTATTATTATTATTATTATTATATTTATTATTATTATTATTATTATTATTATATTATTATTATTATTATTATTATTATTATTATGTATTTATTTTTATTTATTATTATTTTATTTTTTTTTTGTAATTTTTATTTTATTTTTATTAATTTTCAAAATACTATTTATCTCCCCTCTCATCTCATCTCTTCATAGACTTCTCTTCTTTCTATTACTGCCATTTATTTTCTTCTATTTCAATTTTTGTTTGGTATTTTTCGCACGAATTCGAAATGATTAAATGATAAATGTCTGTCATAACGGAAATTAAGAAACGTGTGTGTCTTTTGGGCTGGTGTGTTTTTCATTTGTTTTTGTTTATTTTTTTTTACTTGTTTTTAAACATTTTCATTGGAATTCCAACTGCCTCCGGAGATGGGCTACGAAAGTCTTTGATGTATTCCTACACTTGTTTTGAAATCTTGTCACAAGATTTGTCTTTTTGTAGAAAGGCAATATATATTTTCGTTAACATGGACATAGCCATAGGTGACATGGCTATTAATTAAATAAATATCTATTTTTGTGTTTCAAAAATTTCTAATTTAAAAAAAAAAAAACTCACAAAAATACGTCAATGAGCTCGGACGGGCCTCCACCATGAACAATAGTTTAATTTACACTGGGAAACAAAATTCAATTATTTCAATAATTACGGGAAAAATCCAGCAGATTATGAAAGCAGAGCTAAACCGGTAAAGAAAGTCCTAAAGTCGATCAAGGCCGACTTTCTGATACCCTATACCACTTTGCTAATTTAGTAGAGCTCCGTATAACAATTAAAAGTTTTTATGAGAGAATTCAATCATACACGCTATGATTATAATTATAATTTAAAGTTCAAAGGACTAAATATGCCGAAGCATATGTATCTTTTAAATTCGGACTTGTATTGCCCATTTGGTGCACAATTAATTTGAAATCAGATAGAGATATATATAGGAGCTATATCCAAATCTGAACCGATCTCGATAAAATTTGGCAAAGATATTTCTGAGCTTTATTTGATATATTTCCCTGAATATCGTTGTTACGGAGTGCATATTACGGCTGTGGGTAACAAATAAAACAAATCGGATGAATAATATATATGGGAGCTATAGTTATATCTGAACCGATCTTCACCAAATTTGGCATACTAGCTTCTAGACTCAATTTCATCCCATTTGGCCAAATATTAGACGTTTGGTGCACAATAAAAGGTAAATCGGACGAAGTTATATATGGGTGCTATAACCAAATCTGAACCGATCTCGATAAAATTTAGCAAATGTATTTCTGAGCTGTATTTGACGTATTTCCCCAAATATTGTTGTTACAGAGTACATATTACGGCTGCGGAGGACAAAAATAACAAATCGGATGAACAATATATATGGGAGCTATAGCTATATCTGAACCGATTTCGATCAAATTTGGCATACTTATTTTCAGGACCAATTTGATTGTATGTACAAAATTCCATACTATTCAGACTGATATTACACATTTGGTGCACAATAAAAGGTAAATCGGACGAAGTTATATATGGGAGCTATAGCTATATCCGAACCGATTTCGATCAAATTTGGCATACTTATTTTCAGGCGTAATTTGGCTCTATGTGCAAAATTCCATACTATTCGGGATGATATTACACGTGTGGTGCACAGTAAAAGGCAAATCGGACGAAGATATATCTATATCCAATTTCAATAGGGTTCGTCTTTGGGCCTAACAAATGTTGTCTGAAAAATTTCATCTGGATCGGGTAATAAATGTGAACTGTACTTTGTTTACAAAAATACATGGACAGACAGACGGACGGACGGGCATGCATAAATCGACTAAGAATGTGATTCCATGCAGATCATCAAAAAGGAACTGTGGGTCTATCTCGTTTCCTTTTGCCTGTTACAAACAAATACACAAAGACATAATACCCTGACCACCTTGTGGTGTAGGGTATAAAAATAGAAGACACCTGTTTCGGTGTTTTGAAAGTTTACCTACCAAGGTGACCTAAATAAAGGTGACAAGCTCCTCCCTCTCGACAACATTTCCTGAAATTTTCGGTTTAAGATTCCTTGAAATCCATTGATTTTAGGTACATAGTGTCTTTGGCAGTATTGGAGATAAAAGCTTGAGGAATATTTTAGTTGAAAATTTTAACCCTCAAACAAGCCATCAAAGGGGTCTTTTTTGGTACTTTTTTAAAAATATGATGAAAAACTCCACTTAAATGGGATCATAGCAAGTTAAAACATTCTAAAAAATTGTAGGTCATAAAATTCTACTATGGGTTCTAGGAGACATCAAGAGTCTAGATCTTACTCAAATTCCTGGAATTCATTTATATTAAAAAGACATTTTAGGGTTAAAGCCATACTTTATGCGAGTTTATGCAAAAATCTCCAACAAAACATCATTTTTGAAAGATGACATCAAAGACGAAATTATTCTACATCAAATTTCAAAAGCAAATCGGATTATTGCTTCTTTTTCTGTGCAGAAAATATATTTTTTGAAAATTTCGACCTTTTGTGGATGAGGTACCAGAAGGAGTGGACCGATGTATTCCATCTTAACACCAAACCTTGGGTTAATAAAAATATTCGAATATGTGAAATTTGAAGACAATCGGACTCTTACATCACACTTTATAAGAGTTATAATTATTTAAAATTTTGGCACTTTGTGAGGGAGGTACTTGATGGAGTGAACCGATATTGTCGATTTTCGCTCCTGACCTAGAACTGATACAAATATTAGGATTTGCAAAGTTGGAGCAAAATCGGATTATCCTTTCTCTTTGTGTGCAATAAATTATTTTCTTCGAAAATTTTTACATTTTTGGGAGAGGTACGGTGTTGACCGATGTTGCCCGTCTCCGAACTGGATATAAGTATGATAATAATATTTCGATATACCAAGTTTGGACCGAATCGGATACTACCTTCGAGAGTTATCGTACGCACCAGGCAGGCAGACAGACGGACGGACGGACATCGCCAGATCGACTTCAAATGTCCTGGAACAGATTTGGTCCAAAGAGATCTAGGATCTAAAACCGTTATTTCGACGAGACACGTTTTGGCCGTATCAAATTGTATACCCTCTCTAGCCATATGGCTGAGGGTATAATTGGGGATTATATCGTTTTTTTGGGGAGGACATTGACGCAACGATTTTTCTTTTTTTGTTTTTGTTTTTTGATACGCAATGGAAATAGAGATTTCCTTTCTATGATGACTTATAGTAAAATTCGCTGGGGAATACTTTTGTTTTTGGTGATACCCTTCTAAAATTGTGCTTTGTTGGAGATTTTGGCACAAATTCACACAAAATACGGCTTTAACTTTAAATGTTTTTTTTTTAATTTCTTTGAATTTTCGACGTTGAGGTAAGACTTGGACTCCTGATGTCTTCTGGGACCTAAGTAGAATTTTATGACAAATAATTTTGTAAAATATTTAAATGTTTTTTTAATTTCTTTGAATTTTCGACGTTGAGGTAAGACTTGGACTCCTGATGTCTTCGGGGACCTACAGTAGAATTTTATGACAAATAATTTTATAAAATATTTTGACTGGCTGCGATCCCGTTTAAGGGGAGTTTTTAACCATATTTTCAAAAGAGGACCAAAAGACTCTCATCGAAATAACGGTTGGCTCACTTGAGGGTTAAGATTTTCCTCCAAACAATTCCTCGTATTTCTAGCTGCAACATTGCCGAAGACATTATATACCTAAAATGCGTAGATTCCAAGGAATTTAAATTTCAATTTTGGTATTTGAAGTTCGTAATGAATACTACAGCCTATGCCTGAAAATTGTCTGCGCAGGTCTTCGTATAGCCTCGATATAACGGTACCTCCCGATATTCGGTATTTTGATGATTTTAGCGACATTATTTACCGGAATTGATTCAAATTTGGTATCTGAAATTCGAAATGGATATTACAGCCTAACACAGAAAATTGTCTGTGCAGGTCTACGTCTTCTTATAGCCCCATATAAATGTACCTCCCGATATTCGGTACTTTGATGATTTTTGCCACATTATTCACCGGATTTTTTAATTTTTTAAGTTTCTCATTTAAATTTTGTAATGGCTTATGACAAATGTTACCTATGCAGGTCCATGTCGTCGTATAGACCCTAATATAACAGCTACATTCGGTATTTTTAAGATTTTAACAGAATTTTTAACGGATTTTATTTATGTTTTTTTCATTGCCAAATTCGTTGGTGGGTATTCAAAGTTCGGCCCGACCGAACTTACAGCTTTTTTACTTGTTAGCTCTACTTTCATAATCTGCTGGATTTTCCCCAAATTTACTGAAAAAATGCAATTTTGTCGCACAGAGTTATCTATAGTCTATTATCTGTCGAGGAGGGGGGATGAAGAGCTTTATTTCATCTTCTCTAGTCTCCCCCTTTCTCCTTAACAAGGGAAGACCCCCTACAACTCTTGACTCCATCAATCTCATTCAATTTTTTTTTCAATTTCCCCTTCAAAAGGAGAAATTTACAGGATAAACAAAATGCCATCTCACATTTGAAAAAAAAAATATTGACTCAATCCCAAAAGAACAATGAGAAAAAATGTGAAATAATTGTCGGATTCGAATAGAAAATAAAACTAAACAAATGAATAATGAACTAAAGCAAACATAACAACAAAACAAAAAAACACCGAAGGAATTATTACTAATAATAACAACAACAACTAAAACAAAAACAAAAAAATAAACAAATAAAGGAAAACAAAGAACAACAATAACAACAACAAAGAAACTAAAAAATGAAAAGAAAGAAAGTGATTCATTAAAAAAACAACAACAACGACCCACAAACAATTATGCAAAACTACAAAAAAAGCAACAACAACAACAAATATAATGTAAATGAAAAGAAAACAACTACAACAACATAATACCAAAACAACAACAAAAATTAAAAAAAAAACATAAGCGATACAAATCAAAAGATTGAAATCCCTCCAGCTCCAAAGGAAAATGAAATTGAATTTCCACCTTCCCAACTTCTCGTCTGGATCTCTTCATCTTCTCTTGCTACTGCCATTAGTCTTCAACCATTTGCAGCTCAATCATGCCCAGGCAACACAAAATGTTCTCCCCTTTAAATCCAATGATCCCATGGCCATCACCGAAAGGCTACAAGTCTTTCGGGCCCCTGGCTCCACCACCACCTCCACCACAACATTACGGCGCTATGGCAATGAAACAGTGCTGCGCAAAAATCTCGTCTTTGCCGTTCTGCTGCCCGGCATGGAACTGGACAATAAAAATGACTGTGTCTTGTCCAGCGTATTGGCTGTCCTGGAGTTGGGCATAAAACATGTTCATCAAATGGGCTTTGCCCATAATGCCCAGATTGACTTCACCCTGATCTCCAGGGATACCAATTGCTCATCGATAAACGGTCCCATTGGATTCTTTGAGATCTATATGCGTTACCCGGAGATAAATGCTGTCATGGGTCTGTCGTGTGAATATGTGTTGGCGCCCATATCACGCTATGCGGGGGTGTGGAAAATTCCGGTACTCACCTCCGGTGGTAGTGCCAAGGATTTTGGCAACAAGGCTTCGTCGTATCCCACTCTGACTCGACTGCGCGGCTCCTTGGCCAATAATTTGGGTAATGTTGTCAAGGGTATTTTGGAAAGTTTCAATTGGACCAGCACAGTGCTGATCTATCAGAATGAGGACACCAAGACCAAGGGGAATTCGGTGTGTTTCTTTTGTGCCGTCGTCGTGCATGACAAGGTCCATTCGGATTATCAGCAGGCCATCGATACGGAGAAATGGACCAAGGCCAGCATAAAATTGCTGCTGACCACGCTGTCGAAAAAGACCAGGAGTAAGTATGAGAAGATTGTTTGACCTACGTTTTTTTTTTCAAATGGGAAAAAATATTAGAAAAATTTTGAAATTTAAAAAAATAGAAAAAATTTTTTGAAAATATTTTTTGAAATTGAAGATTGTTTGAAAATTGTTTGACTTACGTTTTTTGAAATGAGAAAAAAAAAAATTAGAAAAAAATTGAAATTTAAAAAAATAGAAAAAAAAATTGAAAATTTTTTTTGAAATTGCAAATTGTATGAAAATTGTTTGACATACGTTTTTTTTTTTTTTTTGAAATGAGAAAAGAATTAGAAAATGTTTGAAATTTAAAAAAAAGAGAAAAAAAATTTTGAAAAAATTTTTTGAAATTGAAGATTGTTTGAAAATTGTTTGACTTACGTTTTTGGAAATCAGAAATAAAATTAGAAAAAAATTTAAATTTAAAAAAATTGAAAAAATTTTTTGAAATTGAAGATTGTATGAAAATTGTTTGACATACTTTTTTTTGAAATGAGAAAAAAATTAGAAAATGTTTGAAATTTAAAAATATGGAAAAAAATTTTTTGAAATTGAAGATTGTTTGAAAATTGTTTGACTTACGTTTTTTAAAATGAGAAAAAAAAATAGAAAAAAATTAAAATTTAAAAAAATAGAAAATTTTTGAAATCAATTCAATTTAAATAGAGGGGGCAAGTCCCCCTCTTCTAGAATTTTTTGAAATCATTGGATTAACATTTCTTGAAATCCTTATATTTAAGGTATATAGTGTCTTCGGCAATTTTACTTCGAGTAATAAGAGGAATATATAATTTGAAAACATTAACCTTCAAGCGAGTCACCAAATAGAACCTTTTGGTCCTTCTTTTGAAAAATTATTAAAAACTCCCTTTAAATGGGATCCTAATGAGTCGAAATGTTCTACAAAAATGTCAATTATAAAATTTTACTACATGTCTCGGAATACACCAAAACTTCAAAACACAACTCAAAAACACGTTTAAGGGTTAAAAGTTGCCTTTTTGAAAATATTCTATGGAATCCATCTATGGAATCTATGGAATCCATGCATTTTGGGTATATGTTGTCGTTGGCAATATTTCTGAAAACAAAACGAGGAAAATTGTGGTAGAAAACTTTAACCCTCATTCGAGTCATTAAATGGGTCTTTTTTGTACTTCTTTCCAAAAGTGGTTAAAATTCTCTTTAAACGGGCTCCTGATGAGTCAGAATATTCTACAGAATTGTTGGTCATAAAATTTTACTATGGGTCTCGGAACACACCAGAACTCCAAAACTTATCTAAATGCCAGAAATCGCTAAAAAATAAAAAAAACACACGTTTTAGGGTTAAAATCGGCATTTTGAAATTATTCGAGTTAAGATTCTTTGGAATCTATGCATTTTAGGTATATGGTGTCGTTGGCAATATTGCTGATAACAATACGAGGAAAATTTTGGTTAAAAACGTTAACCCTCATTCGAGTCATTAAATGGGCCTTTTTGGTCCTTCTTTTAAAAAATTTTTAAAAAATTCCCTTTAAACGGGCTCCTGATGAGTCAAAATATTCTACAAAATTGTTCGTCATAAAATTTTACTACAGGTCTCGGAACACACCAAAACTCTAAAACTTATATAAACACAGAAAATCGCTAAAAATAAAAAAAAAACACGTTTTAGGGTTAAAGTTGTCATTTCGAAAATATTCGTGCTTAGATTCTTTGGAATCCAAGCATTTTAGGTATATAGTGTCGTTAGCAATATTGCTGATAACAATACGAGGAATATTTTGGTTGAAAACTTTAACCCTCCATCAGGTCAACAAAGGGACCTTTTGGTCCTTCTTTTAAAAAATAATTTTATAGTCCCCTCAAACGGACTCCTTATGAGTCAAAATATTCTACAACATTGTTCGTCATAAAATTTTACTATAGGTCTCAGAAAATACCAAAACCCTAAAACTTACGTAAGGACTAGAAATCGTTAAAAATAAAAAACACGTTTTAGGGTTTAAGGTTAAAATTTCACTTCATCTAAGTTTATACAAAATTCTCCTAGAAGACATGTCAGAGACAAAAATATTCTCCATCAAAATTCAATATTTCACTACAAGTCAATTCGAAAATTTAAATCGGGAGGTAATCAAAAATTGGGCTGAAAAGTTACGCCAATTTTTATTTTTATATTTTTCAAAAAAAAAAAAGTTGCCTGGATGCTTAATCTCAAAAATCTACACCCCACCGTTACTTCTTGGAATTGACGAGGCAATGAGTCACCAAAATAACACATCCTATTGGAAACCCATCTAATATTCTGCGGCAAGTGCTTTTTATCCATTATTCACTTGGATAATTCTATTCCCCCATTAACCTTTTCAAACTTAATTTAGAAAATATTTAATTTGACAAATTTAATTTAAATTTTCATATATATCAACTGCCTTCGCACAAACCAGGTGTTCGCATCATCGTCATCCAGCTGCTTTGTTATTTTTGTTTTTCTATTCTCCCCTTTATTTTTGTTATCCTTTTAATATTTTTTACATAGTTTTTCTGTAAATGTAAACATTACAACCAATTTTTTGTTTGTTTCCATTTCTTCTAATTCTTTTCATTTCTCGGCCTCCGAAGTAAACAAAATTTCACCGCCTATAAATCACCACCATTCGGTACCGAATTCACAACTGCAGCATCCGCACACAACGATGGCTAACCATGGCCAAAAAAAAACATTTTCCACCTGTTTTGCAGTGAATAAGGTGCGAATTTATTTGGCACCCGGTTCCTTGAAACGATGCGCGGCAGCAATCTTTGCAAACGCGCGTGGGCCGCAATGCATTCAAACAAATCATAAGTGCATGAATATTTATCAAGGAAATGTGAGGAAATAATTGCTGGTAAATGGCGAAAATTTCATGGTAGATAAATCATTAATGGTTTTGCAGAGGGTGACGGGGGCAGTAATGGGTGATTAATTTAAATATTTGGTGAAGGAAGGGGAATTACAGATTTTAATGTAATTGAATGGAAAATCTGTCGGATGGGAATACATACAAAAATTGGGAAAATTACTTCAAATAAAAAATATCGCATGATATATTTTTATGAACGTGACATGAGATACTTCTTTAAAGAAAATTATAGCATGAGATAGATTTTGAAAAAATTCAAATTTTTCAATATTTACGAGGAAAATCCAGCAGATTATGACAGTAGAGCTAAAAAAAAAAGAGGAAACATTTATCGTTGGCGTCTTGAAAGTTTACCTCGCAAAGTAGCCTAATTAGGGGGAGAAAGTTCCCCCCTCCCTACATTTCTTGATATTTTCAGATCAAGATGCCATGGAATCTGATGATTATAGGTATATAGTGTCTTCGGCAATATTGTAGATAGAAATACGAAGAATATTTTGATATGAAGTATTAACGCTCAATCGGGTCAAAAAAGGGTTATTTTCGGGTCTTTTTTTAAAAGTATGGTTAAAAACTCCTTTACAATGAGATACTAGAAAGTCAAAATAGTCTACAAAATTATTTGTCATACAATTCTACTATGGGTCTCAGAAGACGGCAAAAGTCTAAATCTTACCTAAACGCCAGTAATTCATATAAAAGGAGAGATAAAAAAACGGCAACCAACTTCAGACTGCTGTCATTTGCAAGCCACTCGTCCGACAGCTATTAAAATTATTCCAGTGACAGCTTATTATATTGTTTACAAACCTTCAAAAGCATTTTGGTGAGAATTTTCCAGAAAAAAAATTAATCGTGATGGAATTCAAACGTGATAGTGTGATTTCTTTATATTTGGCTGGAAAACCACAAGTGGCTATGGTTAGAGCACTCCACCATTTAAATGTGAATAAATCGTTTATGTCTCATACCATCGCTCGTTACCATCATGCTCGTAGCGTAGCCCGACGTCAAATAAATGGACGGAAGAAAACAGCAAAATCTACAGAAATGGTTCGAAAAGTAAAGGAGCGACTTGATTGAAACCCGCGTCGCAAAGCCCGAAAAATAGCTCGTGAGCTGAACATATCGCAATACACCATCCGGCAAATATTGAAAAATATTGAGCTCGGGATAAAGCCATTGAAATTCCAAATAGTGCAAGAACTAACACCGCAACGGAAAGAAAATAGACTCAAGAGAGCTAAAGAGTTGCTTTGCCTGGCCGAAAGTTGTGAACTGCCGAATTTGGTTTTTTCCTCTCCGATGAGAAAACATTCGTTGTCCAACAGTTTGTAAACAAACAAAATGGTCGTGTTAACTTGCCAAAGAGGTCAGCTGGAAATGTGCACCTTCGGTTGGCCGGCCACCAGAACTCATGCGCCGGCCATGGTGATGGTGACGGGCCGCCATAACAGCCGATGGTCGCTCTCCGCTCGTATTAATCGCCCATGTGGCATCAGATTAAATGCCAAATATTATTGCGAAAATATTCTGGAGGGTGTATTAAAACCTTGGGCACGCAAACATTTTGGCCGCAGACCTTGGACACTCCAACAGGGCTCAGCACCATCGTACTCAGCACGCGCCACCCAAGAATGTTACAAAATGAGGTTCCTCGCTTCATTTCCAGCGTACAATGCCCACCAAAATCTCTGGATACCCACCCATTAGAATATTGTGTCTGGAGCATTTTGGAAAGCAAGGTTGGCACTTAAAAAATACCAAAGTGTCGATCACCTTAAGCAAGCGCTTGGCCGGGAATGGGCCAAAATACCGCAGAGCAACATTCGGGTAGCGTGTGACGGTTTCATTGGCCGTTTGAAGGCCATAATTCGTGCCAAAGGTGACCAACTCGAACAAATCTAAACGAATTCTGAAATTTGATGCTATTTTCGACATTTTTTGCTTTCATTCAATGAAATTTAAAAAAAAAAAATAAAAATTATGCCATTTGATTTTGTTGCACCACCTCGTTATCACAAACCTACCACAAGAAGGGACCACAACACAATTCTTATACCCTCCGCCATAGTATAAAGGGTATATTATGTTTGTCATTCTGTTT